TCAACCGTACGTAGAGAACCGCACACATAGACACGAACTGTTGCTTGTTGTGTGTGTGAGTGTGTGTATGAGATGTCCCCAACTATTTGATATTTGTTGTTGCTGCATAAAGTTATTAATGAAAACCCTAATGCCAAATGCACTAAACAAAGAAAAAATTACTTTTAAAAATGTTATATAATTATCAATTAATTATACCCTGTACCCGTAGGGTAAAAAGGGTATATTAGGTTTGTGCAAAGTATGTAACATACAGAAGGAAGCATCTCCGACCCCATAAAGTATATATATTCTTGATCAGCATGACGAGAGAAATCGATCTAGACATGTCCGTCCGTCTGTCCGTCCGTCTGGATGAACGCGAGGACCTCAGAAACTATAAAAGCTAGAATAACCAAAGTTGGCATCCAGATTCTCCTAGGTCCGAGTAAGGACGAGTTTATTTTATTTCAATAGCGTCAATAGCGTCCACATTTCAAATGCTACCTAAACCAAACTTTGCACACATAATTTATATATAATTGTCTACTGTTGTTCATTCAATTCGGTCAATTCTAAGAAAGGTTATTAGCAAAACAAATTCTCGCCAGTACAACCCCCCCAAAACTGCAGCAACAAGTTCGCTCTTCTTCTTCCTCTTTTTGCTGCTGCTATGGGCGCATATAACTCAGTGACGGAAGTTTACATGGGTACAGGGTATTACACTGTCGGGCTTGCTCGACTGTAGCGTTCTCTCTTGTTAACATTTCTTGCTCTGTCAGTGCAAGACGAATGTACGAACATACATATGTAGATACATATGTACATACACGCTTATACGGCAAGCGACCATGTGGCCATCACAATCACAGTCGGAGTAACTTCCCGCAACATGCTGAATCCACCGTCCGCCAACGTGGCATACAAGCTGGATTCCTTCCGTCCAGCATCCTTCGCAAGCGCCCTCAGCGGCTTCCGACTCTCCGGTGATCCGGAAGTTATGGCTATGGACGCCGTGGCCCAAATCCGCGCGCCATGCGACGCCAGCATGGACAGACGTTGCCCCTATAGGCGCCACCACGTACCAGCTTACTGGTGGACCAACGAAATAGCGGAACTGCGAAGCTCTTGTATCAGGGCAAGAAGAATGGCGCAGAGAGCTCGCGGCACACCCTCGTCGCCCCTCAGACAGGATGCCTATCGGGAGTCTAGGCGATCTCTGAAAAGGGCGATAGCAGCAAGCAAGAGGCGATGCTTTTTCGAGATGTGCGACTCAGCCGAGCACGACCCCTGGGGGAAAGCATATAAGCTCATTGTGAAGCGAATCTACGCTGGCGGACGCAATGCTCCCATGGATGCTGAGAAACTCTCACGAATCGTTAATACCCTATTCCCCTCGAGACCTGAGTCGCCTGCGATGATCCCTACCAGAAACGAGTTATCGCCTGCCTTAGGCGACGTCACCACTGAGGAAGTGCTGCTGGCTGCTCGTAGCTTGCAGCTCAACAAAGCGCCGGGCCCGGATTCTATACCGAACCGCGCACTCAAACTGGCACTTTGTATGCACCCTGGGGCGTTCGCTACTCTGTTCGGAAGGTGTATCAGGGAAGGCATATTCCCTGCCTGCTGGAAGGTGCAGAACCTGGTTCTACTGCCGAAACCTGGAAAACCACTCGAAGACCCCTCATCCTACAGGCCGATTTGTCTCCTGGACTCGATCGGTAAGGTGCTGGAGAGACTGCTTTGCTCGAGGCTTGAAACAGCAATCGGTCTATCCCCCAATCAGTACGGGTTCCGGAAATCGAGGTCCACCATAGACGCGATCAGTAGAGTGGTGGATCTTGCGTCGAAGGCAATATCAGGTAGCAGATGGAAGGGAGGTGCCAAAGAATACTGCCTGATGGTGACCCTCGACGTCAAAAATGCATTCAACTCGGCAGACTGGGGATGCATTCTCAACGCACTGGTGGATCAAGGCGTACCCACGGGCCTGGTGCGCTCCATTAGAAGTTACCTTAGCGATCGGATACTTAGGTTTCACACATCGTCTGGCACCAAATCCCTCAATGTTGTCGCTGGCGTCCCCCAAGGGTCGGTCCTAGGGCCGCTGCTCTGGAACGTCATGTACGATGGCATTCTCCGCCTCCAACTCCCACCCGGTACGGAGATAGTGGGGTACGCAGATGACGTCGCAATTGTAGGCGTTGCGAAAGACATCAAAACCGTGGAAGACGCGTGCAACCTCTGCATCCGGTCGATCATTGACTGGCTGAACACCGTGGGCCTGGAACTAGCGGCGGGCAAAACAGAGGCAGTGCTAATCAGCGCACATCTCAATTGACGGTACTCTCGTGCGGTCCAAACGTTCAATTAACTACCTTGGGGTTAGATTGGATACGAGATTGTGCTTTCGTGAGCATCTGGAGCAGACGAACAAAAAAGCTGCAGAGGCCACACGGGCGCTAGCCCGAATTATGGCCAACACTCGGGGCCCAAAGCAAGGTCGGAGGTTATTGCTTATGAGCGTAACCAGATCAATAATGCTGTACGCGGCACCGATATGGGCTGCCGCGGTGAACAAGAGGAGCTACATCCGCGACCTCGCTGCTACATACCGTCTTGGCGCTCTCCGTGTCTGTAGTGGATTCAGGACGGTTTCTGACGATGCCGTACTGGTGATCTCGGGGATGGCACCTATCGACCTCCTCGTCCTGGAAGCGAGCTACCTTCACAGTTTTGCTGCCGGGCGGCCTCGCAGAGACGCGTGGGCGGCGGCTAGACGTACGACGGTAAGCAAGTGGCAAGAGCGATGGAATGCCTCGTCAAAAGGCAGGTGGACCCACACGCTAATCACTAACGTAGCATCGTGGATCGGCAGAACACATGGCAAGGTCGACTTCCATCTGACCCAACTTCTGAGCGGCCACGGATGCTTCAGAAGTTATCTGCATAGATTTGGGCACGACTCCAGTGCGGAATGCCCGGCCTGCAGAGGGATACCGGAAGATGCTAACCACGTAGCCTTCCATTGCCCAAGGTTTGGGGCGGACAGAAGGAGACTGGAGGCGACAACCGGATCACCCCCAACGGCGTCGAACTTTGTGGCCAACATGCTCGCTAACGAAAATTCGTGGGCTGCGAGCGCAAATTTTGCGGCCTCCGTTATGGGCAAGCTCAGGAAACAGGAGCGGGACAGGAGCGCGATATAAGCGGGTTGATCGGCCGGGCGAAGCAATGCCTAACGGCCGTACCGCCTGGACTTTGACCTGCGTATATCATTATTATTATTACTTTTACTATTATTATTACTATTATTGTTATTTCTATCTCCATATTGTTATTTTTCCACTCTTTGTCAGTTTATATAAAGAATAGAAAAAAAAAAAAAAAAAAAAAAAAACATATGTACATACATAGATGTGCACATATGTATGGACATTCACACATTATTGTCTCACATTTTGCTTTGGCTATTTCAATCGTTTGCACGCAACTACACGAACAGCTGCTTGCATGTGTGTGTGTGTGTATATGTATACTTAGTTGTCCCCAACTGTTTGATATTTTGTATTGTTTGTCCTGCCTGCTTTTGTAAAATGCATATTTTGAAAATCCTTGAATGCAAAGTTGTAGATTTAGTTACGTAGATTACATTACCCAAATTTTAAATCGATCGGACTAAATTTATAACACAAACTTTTCATTTGAAAAGGTGAATAAATATTAAAACCCCAATAATTCAAGCTCCAACACAATTTCGAAAATCTAAGTATGCAGTTTTGTTTGTATTCTTTAATTGATTTTAGAAACTAAGTTTTAAGTCGATCGGTTGAAAAATGCGGATTTTTCAAACAAACTTTGGAGCTACTTTTCCCCCCTTTTGCTCGAATTATCTACACCAACGGTAAAAGCTAGGAAGCTGAAATTTGGACTCAAGTATCCTTTCATAGTGTAAGTTGGCGATAATCACCTATGTATATCTCCCCTGCTTTCCCGAATTCTTGGATTTTTGACCTCAAATTTGGTAAATAGCTCCAGTAGGTGATTATGTGTCCATCAGGAAGTTATATCTATAATATTTGGCCAAGCGCTGCCCGCTACTGTTGTTGTTCTTGCTGCTTTGGTTGAACATTATGCTGCATGCATGCTCACACAGATACGAATAGACACGCATAGGCATGCATACACTCACATAGACACAATTCCTATGTAAATGTCTAATTATACCCCCTCATCGTGACTTTGAATACCAAGGGTAGTAATTGTTTTTTTAATTTTAAAATTTTTTTTATTCATCTACACACAGTAGGTTTCAAAGTCGGAACACCCGACTATAGCTTTTCTACTTGTTTATATATATAGATGTGGGATCTGCCACGCCTCCTTCGATGTATTACATACATTTGCACTAAACTAGCATACCCTTTAACCTACGGGATATAAAAAAGACAAAGCGCTTACATTATAAAATCTGTTTTTGAATAAATAACAGACTCTAAAATGCGTTTGAAATAACACGATATTTATTTACTCATTTTAATTTTTGAACAATATTTGCATATTTGTTATTTTGATTTAAAACATAGACCTTTTTTTATGATGATTTTCTGCACTTTTTGTTCGTTTTTCTAAATGTCTTGGAACAACTCGAAAAACTTCACAATCAATTTGGACTGGCATAGAGGTTTGTCTAATTGAGAGCCACTGCAGAGTCTTACGATTATTGGCTCTACTGCAATGTGTGGGTAATGTTTCTACAGAAAAATGAAGAAATATAATACGAGATTGTACCATTTTACTTGAACTTTTACCTTTTGTTGGTTGGTGACAAATATTGTCTTCATCTGGCGTTGTTGAGCCATTTCGCATAGCATCGCCGCGCTGCAAAGTTTGTCGTCTTGCAGCCAAGTTATTTTCCGATTTACAACTATCAAATTTTGACAGATTCTGTCTTTGTTTTTTATAATAAGAACGAAATGCTGCTTGTATTTTCCTGGCTGCTTCTTCCTCAATAAAGAGTTCTAGAGATTCGCTAATAGCATCGTTGCCAAACGATGCCTTTGTATCTTGAGTTGATGAATTTGTATCATCATTTGCGCGGAATCTTCTCCTTGCAGGAAATCCCCGAGCTCCAGCTTGAATTTTTGTTGCTGCTGAGACGGTTGATTCAGTTTCAGTAGAAGTATATGTATTCGCCATGGCTGTGTCTATATAAAATTCATCTTTAATAGATGTTTCTGGATAAAAGCAGTCCGATTCTGCATCTGACAAAGAATAAGCTAATATTTTTTTTCGAATATTCTCAGAAGTTTCATCATCTAAATAGAAACTGTTGCAGTTTTTTTTTGCACTCTCCTCTGCAACGTATTTATTTGAGGTGTCGGTTCTAATTGGCTTAAGAGTATATCTTGAATAATCTCCATCGGTTGTATTGTGACGTGCTAGTATGCCTATGTCTGTATTTTCATATGTATTTTCATATTCAGCCACTTCTCGTAATACAAGTGAGGCTTCACTTTGGGCTGAGCTTTCACGCGTATCTTCTTTTTTGAAACGGTTATATATAATAATGGCCCCATTTTCGTTATCAAGAGAATATTGTTGTTGCAATGATTTTATAGAAGGGTTTTCAAGAAATAAGTGACTAGAGTACACCTCGTCATAAGTCCTTTTTTGAATAATTTGATCTAGCTTTGAATATTTTTGTGTAGATACACACATGCGCACATCAAATGAGTTTCGTCTTTGAAGCTTAAAGTCTCGGGCAATTTCTCTTTTCTTGTCCTGATGAATAATATTGTTCATTTGGGTTTGTTCCTTATTTATATCAATAAGAGATAAACTTCTTTTTATAGAAAGTTTATCCATGAAGGTTTTTCTTTTATTTCGTTCACCTATGCTGGCTTGTGACTTATGCTCCATTTCATTGACCTCTAAAGTATTTCTTGGATGGCTTTTAAATATTATAAATGCAATTTGAAAAACTTACCTATCATGTAATTTAATTTGGTAATGGACTCATTTTTGGCGTCGATGGTAAATTCTACTTCACTTTGGTTGGAACCTGCTAAGAAATTGAAATCATTTACATTGCTTTAATGAGCCACGTTTATTGCCCTTTTACGTCATAATCGTATGAAATAAAATTTACATATCTCTGAATATTAATTATAATTAAAAGAATGAATACTGATATAAGTACTTACAACTAACTTTTCTGATGCCATTTTCCAGCTGGGTATCTAGTTTCGGTAAGTCAATCGTATTATTTCTTATTTCTTTGGACTCTCCTACAATCGTTACTTTATCAGTAAAATTGTTCGTAAATAAAGAAATGTAGAATTGAATTATTACATTTTTTTAAATCGTACTGGATATCTAGTATCTTGTAAATAAATATTTGACTTACGATTAATATAATCGGGTGTAATATTGTCACTTTCCATTGTAATACCTTTTGGTTGATGAACTTCTTTGCTTTGCGTTATAGTCCGGTCTAAAATTTTTGTTTCTTCGGTAACGGAATGCACAACAAATTAAAAATTCGATTAATTATACCCTGTACCCTTAGGGTAAAAAGAGTATATTAGGTTTGTGCAAAGTATGTAACAGGCAGAAGGAAGCATCTCCGACCCCGTAAAGTATATATATTCAGCATGACGAGAGAAATCGATCTAGACATGTCCGTCCGTATGTCCGTCCGTATGTCCGTCCATATGTCCGTCCGTCTGTCTGACTGTCTGTATGAAAGATCTCAGAAACTATAAAAGCTAGAATAACCAAAGTTAGTATCCACATTTTCCTAGGTCCGAGGAAGGACGCGTTTATTTTATTTTTGGAATTGCGAACTGTCCGGTAGGTTACTATCATTATCTTTTATATATTCATAATCATAATCATTCTCGGACTTGTTTTTATCTAGATAAAAAAATTTAAGAAAAAAACAAGTAGAAAACCTAAAGTCGGGTGTCCCGATTTTTAAATACTCTGTCTATTCGTGTCTGTGTAAGCATGTTTGCAGTCAACCAAAGCATCAACAGCTGCGGGCAGCGGTTGGGCAGCGCGTGGGCACCACATAACTATATATTTTGATCGATTTTACCTCTCTCGGTATTCGAACTCACGTAAAGGGTGTATAATTGCACATTTACAAAGCCTTTGCGTCTATGTGAGTGTATGAATGTCTATGCGCGTCTATTCGTGTATGTTTGAACATGTTTGCAGTCAACCAAAGCACCAGCATCAACATTTAACTCTATAACTTCTTGCTAAATCGATATTTCATAGTGAAACTTGGCATACAGAGACATCATCACGAACTGGGAGTATATGCAAAATTTGAGTTCGAAATTCTAAGAATTACGGGAGTTATGGAAGATCACTTATTACAAGGGAGAGGGGGGAAGGAGGGGAATTCCAAAACACAAATTTTCTGCGTATTCACATAAGGCATATTTGACTATAATTTGGTGTCCTTAGCTCTCATAGTCTCCGAGATAAAGGTGATTATACGAACGGAAACGGAAGTGGGTGGGAAAATAAAAAAAAACAAAACAAATTTGCACAACATACACACATAACACATCTTCGTCCAAAATTACCAATTATCACTAAGATCCAGGTATTCATACGGACAGACAGACATAGATCGACTCGCCTTGTCATGCTGATCAAGAATATATATACTTTATGGGGTCTGTCACGACTCCTTCTGCCTGTTACATTTTTCACCTATGGCAAACCTAATCTACTACTGTATATTTCACGTACAGATTATAAATATGTAAACTGATCAGTGACTGTTTTTATACCCTGTACCCGTAGGGTGTGCAAAATATGTAACAGGCAGAAGGAAAGTATATATTCTTAATCATAGACAAGTGCGTCCGTACGTCCATTTGTATGTGAGGATGAGTCTGGATTTCGGAAACGACACTACAGTATTTCGCCTATGCTGTCCACAAGCTACATAAACGAACCTTTTCACACGCAATCTATATACAAATATCCACTTTTGTTTTCAATTTCTTCCAAACCGGTAAATTGTAACAAAAGTTTTTAGTGAAACATTTTCAATCCAGTACTGCGGCCACAAGCCGCAGCATCAAGTATTATTATACCCTGTACCCAAAGGGTACAAGGGTATATTAGTTTTGTGCAAGTGCACATGGAACACACAGAAGGAGGCTTGGTAGACCCCACAAAGTATATATATTCTTGATCAGCATGACAAGCCGAGTCGATATAGCCATGTCCGTCTGTCTGTCTGTATGAACGCAAGGATCTATAAGATCTAGAATAACCAAACTTGGTAGACCGAGAAAGGACGAGTTTGTTCATTTTTTCTGATCCAACCCCCCACTCCCCCCCTATTTACGATTTTCTATACCTCCCGTAATTCTTGGAATTTTAAACTAAAATTTGGTAGTCACATTAGGTTAGTGATTATATATCCGTATACCAAGTTTCATTATGATAGTATGATCGGAAAGAAAGTTATAGCCATATAACCAGGCCCAATGCACACATACATACATATGTACAAGTACACAAACACGCATAAGGCACGATTCTAATGTAAATGTAAATGTATGTATGCATGCATGGAATATTTTATATTTAATTTAGTTAATTAATTAAATTAATTTAGTTAATTAATTAAATTAAATTAATTAATTAATTAAATTATTTTTTTGTGGGGTGGTACAGGGTATTTAAGAGTTGAGCCTGCTCGACTTTAGCATTCCTTTCTTGTCTTTTTCTTTTATTCGCTTCTGTCGAAAGTCTGTCTGGGTACAGCGTTTTTCACTGTAGGGCTTGCTCGACTGCAGCGTACCATGTGCTCTCCACAAAAAAAGGAAAATTGAAGAATTAAAAAATTTAATTAATTAAATTAAATATAAAATATTCAACACATGCATACATACATAAACACTTATGTATGTATCTACAATTTCAATACAATAAATGTGCATCGGACAAAACTCAAACTCGTACTTTCTTGGACTTAGGAGAATCTGGATACTTTCTGAAATCCTAGCGTTCATACAGACAGACGGACGGACAATCGAGATGGCAGTAAACACTGCATTCGCAGTCAGACCTACATGTTTGAGAAGAAATTAAAAGAAATATAAACTACAATTTCTAGGACGACGATAACTATACCAGAGGTATAATACGAAATAATACCGGGCAATACAATGTAGTGAGACATTGGATATTGTAAAATCCGCACCCGACTATGAGGGTAAACATTGAATTGAACAAGAGTTGTCGACTTTGTGTCATGGAAACTTGACAATAACACAATACTACGAGGAGATGACGTACGATGGTACCTTGGCTGCCTCCCTTAACGAAAAATATAGAATAGATGCTTTGAGAGTATTTATTTCAGGCACCAAAAAGTCATTAAGAGACATCCTTTTTTCGGCACGTGCCAAAGACCTGCCATCAGCTCTGGACTTAGCCCAGGAAGTTGAGTCAAATTATGAGCGTTTCCAATTTGCAAATAACTATGAAATAGGCATCAAGGAGAAAGCTCACAGAAGCGAACAACGACAACAAAAAAGTTTAGTTATGGATAATAACAGCCCGCCAAAGGGAAAAAGTCCATATTTTAATAAGCAACAAGTACGAAAGATAAAGTCGGGTGTCCCGACTTTGAAATACTCTATACATACTTATGTTTAGAACATTTATAGAAATTAAAAAATTTTGATCGAATTACCTCTCTTGGTATTCGAACTCACGTAAAGGGTGTATAATTGCACATTTACAAAGCCATTGCGTCTATGTGAGTGTATGAATGTCTATGCGCATCTATTCGTGTCTGTGTGAGCATGTTTCCAGTCAACCAAAGCACCAGCATCAGCAACAGCTGCGGACAGCTCTTGGGCAGTAAATATATTTCTGGCTATAACTTCTTGTTAAATCGGTCTAACATAGTGAAACTTGCCATACGGACACATAATCACTAACTGGAGGTATTTACCAATTTTGAGTTCGAAATTCTAAGAATTACGAGAATTAGAGAAAATCACCAAAAAAAATGAAAACAAACTCGTATAGCGTACACACATAAGGCATTGTGCACAATTTGTCTCTAGCTCTTATAGTCTCTGAGATCCAGGTGTTCATACGGACGGACAGACGGACAGACAGACAGACAGACAGGGCTAGATCGACTCGTCTCGTCATGCTGATCAAGAATATATACACTTTGTGGGGTCTGCCACGCCTCCTTCTGTGTGTTCCATGTACACTCGCACAAAACTAATAAGGTATTTCATGCACCTTTTCAACACCACAGCTACATTCTTTTTACTCCCTCATCTGACAACATTTGATGGAATACTGAATACTGGGTACTGACCTACTAAATAGAGTAAATGCCTCGTTGGATTTTAAAAATAAAATGTTGAAAACTGAGTCCGGACCCGAAATAATCCAATTTCTGAAATGCACGGACGTCAACTTTGCAGAAATAGAAGGCATAAAAGTACCTTAGTGCGTCCGAAAAGAATTCAAATCAGGATTTCATAAAATACTACTTGCGAAAAAGAATAGAGAAAAAACTGTGTTCTCTGTAGGTTGTCGTTACAAACTTACGTCCAGTTTCAACTGGTCTTTTAATATCTTTATCCACTTTTATTGATGTTGATATCAGAATATCACTATCTTTTATATTTTGTTGTATAAAGCCATCTATATGTAAATATCTACTTTCTGGAAAATATAAATTTACCTTCAGTACTTGAAGCTTCATTGTGCGTTCGATTATTACTCTTCATTTGCGGGCTTGTCGATAATTTGATATCATTGTCTCTTATAGAATGACAATCATTTTCGTGCTTGTTCTCATCTAGAGAAGCTTTTGAAAAAAGTCCACTTAAAAATTAGGACTAAAAGAATGAATAGTGAAATAAGTACTTACAACTAACTTTTCTGATATCATTTCCCAGTTGGGTATCTCTTTTCGGTAAGTCGATTTTGTTCTCAATCGTATTCCTTCTTATTTCTTCGGAATCTCCTACAGTCGTTATTATAGAATTAAATTATTACAATTTTTGAAATCATACTGAATATCTAGTATGCTCGTTAACAAATATTTGACTTACGATTGATATAATCGGATGTAATGTTGACACTTTCCATTTCAATACCTTTCGAGCAAAAATTAAAGTTAAAAGTAAATAGAAACCAAATGAAATATATTGTCTCAAAGTATGAATTGTGCAATACTTACAAGTGATTTCTCTGATGTTATTTTCCAGTTCGGTACTTGGATTCGGTAGTTCGATTTTGTTGTTATTCGTATTTCTTATTATTTCAACGGGATCTTCTTCTGTCATTACTTTATCAGTAGTAGTATCTTTTGTAAACAAACAAATATTTAAACTGATTAATGCCTGATGCCAGGCAGAAGGAAAGTATATATTCTTAATCATAGACATGTCTATCCCTACATCCATCTGTATGTGAGGATGAGTTTGGATTTCGGAAACGGTACTACAGTATTTCGTCAATACTGTCCACAAGCTACATAAACAAAACTTTTCACACGCAAATATCCACTTTTGTTTGCAGCATCAAGTAATATCTTTTTCTTTTTTTGCTTCTGTCGAAAGTCTGTCTGAGTACAGCGTTTTTCTTTGTCGTGCTTGCTCGACTGTTACGTTCTCTCTCTTGTTATTATAATAGTAAACACTTAGAATACTTTAAAATATTAGTTGCTTTCAGAATTCCATGATCTCTATATATATAAAACAGTTTGTCCTGACTAACTGACAGATTGGCAATCAACGCAAAGCCCAAACGGTAAGAACTAGGTAGCTGAAACTTGGATGGTGTAGGTGAGCACTAAGAAGGGATTTTGGTAAATTCGAGCTTTAAGTGGGGGAAGACGCGATCCAAAGTTTGTTTGAAACATCCGCATTTTTCCACCAATCAACTTAAATTTTTTTTTAATAATCTATAAAAGAATGCAAACAAGAGAGAACGCTTCAGTCGAGCAAGCCCGATAGTAAAATAGCCTGTACTCTCCACAAAAAAAGGAAAATTAAAAAAAAAAAATTAAAGAAATATTAAATTATTAAAAAAAAGTGAATTAATTAATTAAGTAATTAAATTCAATTAGAAGACATGTGTATGTTCAGTTTTAACAGCATACATTTACATCACGTGCCTATGCGTGTTTATATGCGTGTATGTATGCAGCACAAAGTTGAACCAAAGCAGCAACAACAACAGCTGCGGGCCGCGCTGCAGGCAGAGCATAGGCAGACCATAGGCAGGTGGGGTGGGGGGTTGTGTGGTGCATCGGAAAAAACTCAAACTCGTAATTTCTTGGACTTAGGAGAATCTGGATACTTTCTGAAATCCTAGCGTTCATACAGACATACGGACGGACAACAATGTCTTTTAACAAGTCCGACATAAAAATGCTAGTCGAGATGGCAGTAAACACTGCATTCGCAAGTCAGACCTAAATGTTTGAGAAGAAATTAAAAGAAATATAAACTACAATTTCTACGACGACGGTAACTATACCCGAGGTATAATACGAAATAATACCGGGCATACAATGTAGTGAGACATTGGATATTGTAAAATCCGCACCCGACTATGAGGGTAAATATTGAATTGAAATGAATTGAATTGTGTCATGGAAACTTGACAATAACACAATACTACGAGGAGATGACGTACGATGGTATCTTGGCTGCCTCCCTTAACGAAAAATATAGAATAGATACTTTGAGAGTATTTATTTCAGGCACCAAAAAGTCCTTTTTTCGGCACGTGCCAAAGACCTGCCATCAGCTCTGGCCTTAGCCCAGGAAGTTGAGTCAAATTATGAGCGTTTCCAATTTGCAAATAACTACGAAATAAGCCTCAAGGAGAAAGCTCACAGAAGCGAACAACGACAACAAAAAAGTTTAGTTATGGATAATAACAGCCCACCAAAGGCTAAAAGTCCATATTTTAATAAGCAACAAGTACGAAAGCTAAAGTCGGGTGTCCCGACTTTGAAATACTCTATACATACTTATGTTTAGAACATTTATAGAAATTAAAAAATTTTGATCGATTTTACTTCTCTTGGTATTTGAACTCACGTAAAGGGTGTATAATTGCACATTTACAAAGCCATTGCGTCTATGTGAGTGAATGAATGTCTATGCGCATCTATTCGTGTCTGTGTGAGCATGTTTCCAGTCAACCAAAGCACCAGCATCAGCAACAGCTGCGGACAGCTCTTGGGCAGTAAATATATTTCTGGCTATAACTTCTTGTTAAATCGGTCTAACATAGTGAAACTTGCCATACGGACACATAATCACTAACTGGAGGTATTTACCAATTTTGAGTTCGAAATTCTAAGAATTACGAGAATTAGAGAAAATCACCAAAAAAAAAGAAAACAAACTCGTATAGCGTACACACATAAGGTATTGTGCACAATTTGTCTCTAGCTCTTATAGTCTCTGAGATCCAGGTGTTCATACGGACGGACAGACGGACAGACAGACAGACAGGGCTAGATCGACTCGTCTCGTCATGCTGATCAAGAATATATACACTTTGTGGGGTCTGCCACGCCTCCTTCTGTATGTTCCATGTACACTCGCACAAAACTAATAAGGTATTTCATGCACCTTTTCAACACCACAGCTACATTCTTTTTACTCCCTCATCTGACAACATTTGATGGAATACTGAATACTGGGTACTGACCTACTAAATAGAGTAAATGCCTCGTTGGATTTTAAAAATAAAATGTTGAAAACTGAGTCCGGACCCGAAATAATCCAATTTCTGAAATGCACGGACGTCAACTTTGCAGAAATAGAAGGCATAAAAGTACCTTAGTGCGTCCGAAAAGAATTCAAATCAGGATTTCATAAAATACTACTTGCGAAAAAGAATAGAGAAAAAACTGTGTTCTCTGTAGGTTGTCGTTACAAACTTACGTCCAGTTTCAACTGGTCTTTTAATATCTTTATCCACTTTTATTGATGTTGATATCAGAATATCACTATCTTTTATATTTTATTGTATAAAGCCATCTATATGTAAATATCTACTTTCTGGAAAATATAAATTTACCTTCAGTACTTGAAGCTTCATTGTGCGTTCGATTATTACTCTTCATTTGCGGGCTTGTCGATAATTTGATATCACTGTCTCTTATAGAATGACAATCATTTTCGTGCTTGTTCTCATCTAGAGAAGCTTTTGAAAAAAGTCCACTTAAAAATTAGGACTAAAAGAATGAATAGTGAAATAAGTACTTACAACTAACTTTTCTGATATCATTTCCCAGTTGGGTATCTCTTTTCGGTAAGTCGATTTTGTTCTCAATCGTATTCCTTCTTATTTCTTCGGAATCTCCTACAGTCGTTATTATAGAATTAAATTATTACAATTTTTGAAATCATACTGAATATCTAGTATGCTCGTTAACAAATATTTGACTTACGATTGATATAATCGGATGTAATGTTGACACTTTCCATTTCAATACCTTTCGAGCAAAAATTAAAGTTAAAAGTAAATAGAAACCAAATGAAATATATTGTCTCAAAGAATGAATTGTGCAATACTTACAAGTGATTTCTCTGATGTTATTTTCCAGTTCGGTACTTGGATTCGGTAGTTCGATTTTGTTGTTATTCGTATTTCTTATTATTTCAACGGGATCTTCTTCTGTCATTACTTTATCAGTAGTAGTATCTTTTGTAAACAAACAAATATTTAAACTGATTAATGCCTGATGCCAGGCAGAAGGAAAGTATATATTCTTAATCATAGACATGTCTATCCCTACATCCATCTGTATGTGAGGATGAGTTTGGATTTCGGAAACGGTACTACAGTATTTCGTCAATACTGTCCACAAGCTACATAAACAAAACTTTTCACACGCAAATATCCACTTTTGTTTGCAGCATCAAGTAATATCTTTTTCTTTTTTTTGCTTCTGCCGAAAGTCTGTCTGAGTACAGCGTTTTTCTTTGTCGAGCTTGCTCGACTGTTACGTTCTCTCTCTTGTTATTATAATAGTAAACACTTAGAATACTTTAAAATATTAGTTGCTTTCAGAATTCCATGATCTCTACATATATAAAACAGTTTGTCCTGACTAACTGACAGATTGGCAATCAACGCAAAGCCCAAACGGTAAGAACTAGGTAGCTGAAACTTGGATGGTGTAGGTAAGCACTACGAAGGGATTTTGGTAAATTCGAGCTTTAAGTGGGGGAAGACGCGATCCAAAGTTTGTTTGAAACATCCGCATTTTTCCACCAATCAACTTAAATTTTTTTTAATAATATATAAAAGAATGCAAACAAGAGAGAACGCTTCAGTCGAGCAAGCCCGATAGTAAAATAGCCTGTACTCTCCACAAAAAAGAAAAATTAAAAAAAACAAGAGAGAACGCTACAGTCGAGCAAGCCCGACACTGTAATACCCTGTACCCAGGTAAACTTCCGTCACTGAGTTATATGCGCCCATAGCAGCAGCAAAAAGAGGAAGAAGAAGAGCGAACTTGTTGCTGCAGTTTGGAGGGGTTGTACTGGCGAGAATTTGTTTCGCTAATAACTTTTCTTAAAATTGACCGAATTGAATAAAATTTTGAACAACAGTAGACAATTATATATAAATTATGTGTGCAAAGTTTGGTTTAGGTAGCATTTGAAATGTGGACGCTATTGACGAAATTCTGTAGCGGGGGAAGGGGGGGAAATTAAAAAAAATAAAATAAACTCGTCCTTACTCGGACCCAGGAGAATCTGGATGCCAACTTTGGTTATTCTAGCTTTTATAGTTTCTGAGATCCTCGCGGACAGACGGACGGACAGACGGACGGACAGACGGACGGACAGACGGACGGACAGACGGACGGACAGACGGACGGACAGACGGACGGACAGACGGACGGACAGACGGACGGACAGACGGACGGACAGACGGACGGACATGTCTAGATCGATTTCTCTCGTCATGCTGATCAAGAATATATATACTTTATGGGGTCGGAGATGCTTCCTTCTGTATGTTACATACTTTGCACAAACCTAATATACCCTTTTTACCCTACGGGTACAGGGTATAAAAAATTAAAGTATGTATGCAGCACAAAGTTGAACCAAAGCAGCAACAACAACAGCTGCGGGCCGCGCTGCAGGCAGAGCATAGGCAGACCATAGGCAGGTGGGGTGGGGGGTTGTGTGGTGCATCGGAAAAAACTCAAACTCGTAATTTCTTGGACTTAGGAGAATCTGGATACTTTCGGAAATCCTAGCGTTCATACAGACATACGGACGGACAACAATGTCTTTTAACAAGTCCGACATAAAAATGCTAGTCGAGATGGCAGTAAACACTGCATTCGCAAGTCAGACCTAAATGTTTGAGAAGAAATTAAAAGAAATATAAACTACAATTTCTACGACGACGGTAACTGTACCCGAGGTATAATACGAAATAATACCGGGCATACAATGTAGTGAGACATTGGATATTGTAAAATCCGCACCCGACTATGAGGGTAAACATTGAATTGTACAAGAGTTGTCGACTTTGTGTCATGGAAACTTGACAATAACACAATACTACGAGGAGATGACGTACGATGGTACCTTGGCTGCCTCCCTTAACGAAAAATATAGAATAGATACTTTGAGAGTATTTATTTCAGGCACCAAAAAGTCCTTAAGAGACATCCTTTTTTCGGCACGTGCCAAAGACCTGCCATCAGCTCTGGCCTTAGCCCAGGAAGTTGAGTCAAATTATGAGCGTTTCCAATTTGCAAATAACTATGAAATAAGCCTCAAGGAGAAAGCTCACAGAAGCGAACAACGACAACAAACAAGTTTAGTTATGGATAATAACAGCCCACCAAAGGGTAGAAGTCCATATTTTAATAAGCAACAAGTACGAAAGCTGAAGTCGGGTGTCCCGACTTTGAAATACTCTATACATACTGATGTTTAGAACATTTATAGAAATTAAAAAATTTTGATCGATTTTACCTCTCTTGGTATTCGAACTCACGTAAAGGGTGTATAATTGCACATTTACAAAGCCATTGCGTCTATGTGAGTGTATGAATGTCTATGCGCATCTATTCGTGTCTGTGTGAGCATGTTTCCAGTCAACCAAAGCACCAGCATCAGCAACAGCTGCGGACAGCTCTTGGGCAGTAAATATATTTCTGGCTATAACTTCTTGTTAAATCGGTCTAACATAGTGAAACTTGCCATACGGACACATAATCACTAACTGGAGGTATTTACCAATTTTGAGTTCGAAATTCTAAGAATTACGAGAATTAGAGAAAATCACCAAAAAAAATGAAAACAAACTCGTATAGCGTACACACATAAGGTATTGTGCACAATTTGTCTCTAGCTCTTATAGTCTCTGAGATCCCAGGTGTTCATACGGAAGGACAGACGGACAGACGGACAGACGGACAGACAGACAGACAGGGCTAGATCGACTCGTCTCGTCATGCTGATCAAGAATATATACACTTTGTGGGGTCTGCCACGCCTCCTTCTGTATGTTCCATGTACACTCGCACAAAACTAATAAGGTATTTCATGCACCTTTTCAACACCACAGCTACATTCTTTTTACTCCCTCATCTGACAACATTTGATGGAATACTGAATACTGGGTACTGACCTACTAAATAGAGTAAATGCCTCGTTGGATTTTAAAAATAAAATTTTGAAAACTGAGTCCGGACCCGAAATAATCCAATTTCTGAAATGCACGGACGTCAACTTTGCAGAAATAGAAGGCATAAAAGTACCTTAGTGCGTCCGAAAAGAATTCAAATCAGGATTTCATAAAATACTACTTGCGAAAAAGAATAGAGAAAAAACTGTGTTCTCTGTAGGTTGTCGTTACAAACTTACGTCCAGTTTCAACTGGTCTTTTAATATCTTTATCCACTTTTATTGATGTTGATATCAGAATATCACTATCTTTTATATTTTGTTGTATAAAGCCATCTATATGTAAATATCTACTTTCTGGAAAATATAAATTTACCTTCAGTACTTGAAGCTTCATTGTGCGTTCGATTATTACTCTTCATTTGCGGGCTTGTCGATAATTTGATATCATTGTCTCTTATAGAATGACAATCATTTTCGTGCTTGTTCTCATCTAGAGAAGCTTTTGAAAAAAGTCCACTTAAAAATTAGGACTAAAAGAATGAATAGTGAAATAAGTACTTACAACTAACTTTTCTGATATCATTTCCCAGTTGGGTATCTCTTTTCGGTAAGTCGATTTTGTTCTCAATCGTATTCCTTCTTATTTCTTCGGAATCTCCTACAGTCGTTATTATAGAATTAAATTATTACAATTTTTGAAATCATACTGAATATCTAGTATGCTCGTTAACAAATATTTGACTTACGATTGATATAATCGGATGTAATGTTGACACTTTCCATTTCAATACCTTTCGAGCAAAAATTAAAGTTAAAAGTAAATAGAAACCAAATGAAATATATTGTCTCAAAGTATGAATTGTGCAATACTTACAAGTGATTTCTCTGATGTTATTTTCCAGTTCGGTACTTGGATTCGGTAGTTCGATTTTGTTGTTATTCGTATTTCTTATTATTTCAACGGGATCTTCTTCTGTCATTACTTTATCAGTAGTAGTATCTTTTGTAAACAAACAAATATTTAAACTGATTAATGCCTGATGCCAGGCAGAAGGAAAGTATATATTCTTAATCATAGACATGTCTATCCCTACATCCATCTGTATGTGAGGATGAGTTTGGATTTCGGAAACGGTACTACAGTATTTCGTCAATACTGTCCACAAGCTACATAAACAAAACTTTTCACACGCAAATATCCACTTTTGTTTGCAGCATCAAGTAATATCTTTTTCTTTTTTTGCTTCTGTCGAAAGTCTGTCTGAGTACAGCGTTTTTCTTTGTCGTGCTTGCTCGACTGTTACGTTCTCTCTCTTGTTATTATAATAGTAAACACTTAGAATACTTTAAAATATTAGTTGCTTTCAGAATTCCATGATCTCTATATATATAAAACAGTTTGTCCTGACTAACTGACAGATTGGCAATCAACGCAAAGCCCAAACGGTAAGAACTAGGTAGCTGAAACTTGGATGGTGTAGGTGAGCACTAAGAAGGGATTTTGGTAAATTCGAGCTTTAAGTGGGGGAAGACGCGATCCAAAGTTTGTTTGAAACATCCGCATTTTTCCACCAATCAACTTAAATTTTTTTTTAATAATCTATAAAAGAATGCAAACAAGAGAGAACGCTTCAGTCGAGCAAGCCCGATAGTAAAATAGCCTGTACTCTCCACAAAAAAGGAAAATTAAAAAAAAAAATTAAAGAAATATTAAATTATTAAAAAAAGTGAATTAATTAATTAAGTAATTAAATTCAATTAGAAGACATGTGTATGTTCAGTTTTAACAGCATACATTTACATCACGTGCCTAAGCGTGTTTATATGCGTGTATGTATGCAGCACAAAGTTGAACCAAAGCAGCAACAACAACAGCTGCGGGCCGCGCTGCAGGCAGAGCATAGGCAGACCATAGGCAGGTGGGGTGGGGGGTTGTGTGGTGCATCGGAAAAAACTCAAACTCGTAATTTCTTGGACTTAGGAGAATCTGGATACTTTCGGAAATCCTAGCGTTCATACAGACATACGGACGGACAACAATGTCTTTTAACAAGTCCGACATAAAAATGCTAGTCGAGATGGCAGTAAACACTGCATTCGCAAGTCAGACCTAAATGTTTGAGAAGAAATTAAAAGAAATATAAACTACAATTTCTACGACGACGGTAACTGTACCCGAGGTATAATACGAAATAATACCGGGCATACAATGTAGTGAGACATTGGATATTGTAAAATCCGCACCCGACTATGAGGGTAAACATTGAATTGAACAAGAGTTGTCGACTTTGTGTCATGGAAACTTGACAATAACACAATACTACGAGGAGATGACGTACGATGGTATCTTGGCTGCCTCCCTTAACGAAAAATATAGAATAGATACTTTGAGAGTATTTATTTCAGGCACCAAAAAGTCCTTAAGAGACATCCTTTTTTCGGCACGTGCCAAAGACCTGCCATCAGCTCTGGCCTTAGCCCAGGAAGTTGAGTCAAATTATGAGCGTTTCCAATTTGCAAATAACTATGAAATAAGCCTCAAGGAGAAAGCTCACAGAAGCGAACAACGACAACAAACAAGTTTAGTTATGGATAATAACAGCCCACCAAAGGGTAGAAGTCCATATTTTAATAAGCAACAAGTACGAAAGCTGAAGTCGGGTGTCCCGACTTTGAAATACTCTATACATACTTATGTTTAGAACATTTATAGAAATTAAAAAATTTTGATCGATTTTACCTCTCTTGGTGTTCGAACTCACGTAAAGGGTGTATAATTGCACATTTACAAAGCCATTGCGTCTATATGAGTGTATGAATGTCTATGCGCATCTATTCGTGTCTGTGTGAGCATGTTTCCAGTCAACCAAAGCACCAGCATCAGCAACAGCTGCGGACAGCTCTTGGGCAGTAAATATATTTCTGGCTATAACTTCTTGTTAAATCGGTCTAACATAGTGAAACTTGCCATACGGACACATAATCACTAACTGGAGGTATTTACCAATTTTGAGTTCGAAATTCTAAGAATTACGAGAATTAGAGAAAATCACCAAAAAAAATGAAAACAAACTCGTATAGCGTACACACATAAGGCATTGTGCACAATTTGTCTCTAGCTCTTATAGTCTCTGAGATCCAGGTGTTCTTACGGACAGACAGACAGACAGGGCTAGATCGACTCGTCTCGTCATGCTGATCAAGAATATATACACTTTGTGGGGTCTGCCACGCCTCCTTCTGTGTGTTCCATGTACACTCGCACAAAACTAATAAGGTATTTATGCACCTTTTCAACACCACAGCTACATTCTTTTTACTCCCTCATCTGACAACATTTGATGGAATACTGAATACTGGGTACTGACCTACTAAATAGAGTAAATGCCTCGTTGGATTTTAAAAATAAAATGTTGAAAACTGAGTCCGGACCCGAAATAATCCAATTTCTGAAATGCACGGACGTCAACTTTGCAGAAATAGAAGGCATAAAAGTACCTTAGTGCGTCCGAAAAGAATTCAAATCAGGATTTCATAAAATACTACTTGCGAAAAAGAATAGAGAAAAAACTGTGTTCTCTGTAGGTTGTCGTTACAAACTTACGTCCAGTTTCAACTGGTCTTTTAATATCTTTATCCACTTTTATTGATGTTGATATCAGAATATCACTATCTTTTATATTTTGTTGTATAAAGCCATCTATATGTAAATATCTACTTTCTGGAAAATATAAATTTACCTTCAGTACTTGAAGCTTCATTGTGCGTTCGATTATTACTCTTCATTTGCGGGCTTGTCGATAATTTGATATCATTGTCTCTTATAGAATGACAATCATTTTCGTGCTTGTTCTCATCTAGAGAAGCTTTTGAAAAAAGTCCCCTTAAAAATTAGGACTAAAAGAATGAATAGTGAAATAAGTACTTACAACTAACTTTTCTGATATCATTTCCCAGTTGGGTATCTCTTTTCGGTAAGTCGATTTTGTTCTCAATCGTATTCCTTCTTATTTCTTCGGAATCTCCTACAGTCGTTATTATAGAATTAAATTATTACAATTTTTGAAATCATACTGAATATCTAGTATGCTCGTTAACAAATATTTGACTTACGATTGATATAATCGGATGTAATGTTGACACTTTCCATTTCAATACCTTTCGAGCAAAAATTAAAGTTAAAAGTAAATAGAAACCAAATGAAATATATTGTCTCAAAGAATGAATTGTGCAATACTTACAAGTGATTTCTCTGATGTTATTTTCCAGTTCGGTACTTGGATTCGGTAGTTCGATTTTGTTGTTATTCGTATTTCTTATTATTTCAACGGGATCTTCTTCTGTCATTACTTTATCAGTAGTAGTATCTTTTGTAAACAAACAAATATTTAAACTGATTAATGCCTGATGCCAGGCAGAAGGAAAGTATATATTCTTAATCATAGACATGTCTATCCCTACATCCATCTGTATGTGAGTATTTCGTCAATACTGTCCACAAGCTACATAAACAAAACTTTTCACACGCAAATATCCACTTTTGTTTGCAGCATCAAGTAATATCTTTTTCTTTTTTTTGCTTCTGCCGAAAGTCTGTCTGAGTACAGCGTTTTTCTTTGTCGAGCTTGCTCGACTGTTACGTTCTCTCTCTTGTTATTATAATAGTAAACACTTAGAATACTTTAAAATATTAGTTGCTTTCAGAATTCCATGATCTCTATATATATAACTGACTAACTGACAGATTGGCAATCAACGCAAAGCCCAAACGGTAAGAACTAGGTAGCTGAAACTTGGATGGTGTAGGTGAGCACTAAGAAGGGATTTTGGTAAATTCGAGCTTTAAGTGGGGGAAGACGCGATCCAAAGTTTGTTTGAAACATCCGCATTTTTCCACCAATCAACTTAAATTTTTTTTTAATAATCTATAAAAGAATGCAAACAAGAGAGAACGCTTCAGTCGAGCAAGCCCGATAGTAAAATAGCCTGTACTCTCCACAAAAAAGGAAAATTAAAAAAAAAAAAATTAAAGAAATATTAAATTATTAAAAAAAGTGAATTAATTAATTAAGTAATTAAATTCAATTAGAAGACATGTGTATGTTCAGTTTTAACAGCATACATTTACATCACGTGCCTAAGCGTGTTTATATGCGTGTATGTATGCAGCACAAAGTTGAACCAAAGCAGCAACAACAACAGCAGCGGGCCGCGCTGCAGGCAGAGCATAGGCAGACCATAGGCAGGTGGGGTGGGGGGTTGTGTGGTGCATCGGAAAAAACTCAAACTCGTAATTTCTTGGACTTAGGAGAATCTGGATACTTTCGGAAATCCTAGCGTTCATACAGACAGACGGACGGACAACAATGTCTTTTAACAAGTCCGACATAAAAATGCTAGTCGAGATGGCAGTAAACACTGCATTCGCAAGTCAGACCTATACATACTTATGTTTAGAACATTTATAGAAATTAAAAAATTTTGATCGATTTTACCTCTCTTGGTATTCGAACTCACGTAAAGGGTGTATAATTGCACATTTACAAAGCCATTGCGTCTATGTGAGTGTATGAATGTCTATGCGCGTCTATTCGTGTCTGCGTGAGCATGTTAACTTCTTGTTAAATCGGTCTAACATAGTGAAACTTGCCATACGGACACATAATCACTAACTGGAGGTATTTACCAATTTTGAGTTCGAAATTCTAAGAATTACGAGAATTAGAGAAAATCACCAAAAAAAATGAAAACAAACTCGTATAGCGTACACACATAAGGCATTGTGCACAATTTGTCTCTAGCTCTTATAGTCTCTGAGATCCAGGTGTTCTTACGGACGGACAGACGGACAGACAGACAGACAGGGCTAGATCGACTCGTCTCGTCATGCTGATCAAGAATATATACACTTTGTGGGGTCTGCCACGCCTCCTTCTGTGTGTTCCATGTACACTCGCACAAAACTAATAAGGTATTTCATGCACCTTTTCAACACCACAGCTACATTCTTTTTACTCCCTCATCTGACAACATTTGATGGAATACTGAATACTGGGTACTGACCTACTAATAGAGTAAATGCCTCGTTGGATTTTAAAAATAAAATGTTGAAAACTGAGTCCGGACCCGAAATAATCCAATTTCTGAAATGCACGGACGTCAACTTTGCAGAAATAGAAGGCATAAAAGTACCTTAGTGCGTCCGAAAAGAATTCAAATCAGGATTTCATAAAATACTACTTGCGAAAAAGAATAGAGAAAAAACTGTGTTCTCTGTAGGTTGTCGTTACAAACTTACGTCCAGTTTCAACTGGTCTTTTAATATCTTTATCCACTTTTATTGATGTTGATATCAGAATATCACTATCTTTTATATTTTGTTGTATAAAGCCATCTATATGTAAATATCTACTTTCTGGAAAATATAAATTTACCTTCAGTACTTGAAGCTTCATTGTGCGTTCGATTATTACTCTTCATTTGCGGGCTTGTCGATAATTTGATATCATTGTCTCTTATAGAATGACAATCATTTTCGTGCTTGTTCTCATCTAGAGAAGCTTTTGAAAAAAGTCCCCTTAAAAATTAGGACTAAAAGAATGAATAGTGAAATAAGTACTTACAACTAACTTTTCTGATATCATTTCCCAGTTGGGTATCTCTTTTCGGTAAGTCGATTTTGTTCTCAATCGTATTCCTTCTTATTTCTTCGGAATCTCCTACAGTCGTTATTATAGAATTAAATTATTACAATTTTTGAAATCATACTGAATATCTAGTATGCTCGTTAACAAATATTTGACTTACGATTGATATAATCGGATGTAATGTTGACACTTTCCATTTCAATACCTTTCGAGCAAAAATTAAAGTTAAAAGTAAATAGAAACCAAATGAAATATATTGTCTCAAAGAATGAATTGTGCAATACTTACAAGTGATTTCTCTGATGTTATTTTCCAGTTCGGTACTTGGATTCGGTAGTTCGATTTTGTTGTTATTCGTATTTCTTATTATTTCAACGGGATCTTCTTCTGTCATTACTTTATCAGTAGTAGTATCTTTTGTAAACAAACAAATATTTAAACTGATTAATGCCTGATGCCAGGCAGAAGGAAAGTATATATTCTTAATCATAGACATGTCTATCCCTACATCCATCTGTATGTGAGTATTTCGTCAATACTGTCCACAAGCTACATAAACAAAACTTTTCACACGCAAATATCCACTTTTGTTTGCAGCATCAAGTAATATCTTTTTCTTTTTTTTGCTTCTGCCGAAAGTCTGTCTGAGTACAGCGTTTTTCTTTGTCGAGCTTGCTCGACTGTTACGTTCTCTCTCTTGTTATTATAATAGTAAACACTTAGAATACTTTAAAATATTAGTTGCTTTCAGAATTCCATGATCTCTATATATATAAAACAGTTTGTCCTGACTAACTGACAGATTGGCAATCAACGCAAAGCCCAAACGGTAAGAACTAGGTAGCTGAAACTTGGATGGTGTAGGTGAGCACTAAGAAGGGATTTTGGTAAATTCGAGCTTTAAGTGGGGGAAGACGCGATCCAAAGTTTGTTTGAAACATCCGCATTTTTCCACCAATCAACTTAAATTTTTTTTTAATAATCTATAAAAGAATGCAAACAAGAGAGAACGCTTCAGTCGAGCAAGCCCGATAGTAAAATAGCCTGTACTCTCCACAAAAAAGGAAAATTAAAAAAAAAAATTAAAGAAATATTAAATTATTAAAAAAAGTGAATTAATTAATTAAGTAATTAAATTCAATTAGAAGACATGTGTATGTTCAGTTTTAACAGCATACATTTACATCACGTGCCTATGCGTGTTTATATGCGTGTATGTATGCAGCACAAAGTTGAACCAAAGCAGCAACAACAACAGCTGCGGGCCGCGCTGCAGGCAGAGCATAGGCAGACCATAGGCAGGTGGGGTGGGGGGTTGTGTGGTGCATCGGAAAAAACTCAAACTCGTAATTTCTTGGACTTAGGAGAATCTGGATACTTTCGGAAATCCTAGCGTTCATACAGACAGACGGACGGACAACAATGTCTTTTAACAAGTCCGACATAAAAATGCTAGTCGAGATGGCAGTAAACACTGCATTCGCAAGTCAGACCTATACATACTTATGTTTAGAACATTTATAGAAATTAAAAAATTTTGATCGATTTTACCTCTCTTGGTATTCGAACTCACGTAAAGGGTGTATAATTGCACATTTACAAAGCCATTGCGTCTATGTGAGTGTATGAATGTCTATGCGCGTCTATTCGTGTCTGTGTGAGCATGTTAACTTCTTGTTAAATCGGTCTAACATAGTGAAACTTGCCATACGGACACATAATCACTAACTGGAGGTATTTACCAATTTTGAGTTCGAAATTCTAAGAATTACGAGAATTAGAGAAAATCACCAAAAAAAATGAAAACAAACTCGTATAGCGTACACACATAAGGCATTGTGCACAATTTGTCTCTAGCTCTTATAGTCTCTGAGACCCAGGTGTTCTTACGGACGGACAGACGGACAGACAGACAGACAGGGCTAGATCGACTCGTCTCGTCATGCTGATCAAGAATATATACACTTTGTGGGGTCTGCCACGCCTCCTTCTGTGTGTTCCATGTACACTCGCACAAAACTAATAAGGTATTTCATGCACCTTTTCAACACCACAGCTACATTCTTTTTACTCCCTCATCTGACAACATTTGATGGAATACTGAATACTGGGTACTGACCTACTAATAGAGTAAATGCCTCGTTGGATTTTAAAAATAAAATGTTGAAAACTGAGTCCGGACCCGAAATAATCCAATTTCTGAAATGCACGGACGTCAACTTTGCAGAAATAGAAGGCATAAAAGTACCTTAGTGCGTCCGAAAAGAATTCAAATCAGGATTTCATAAAATACTACTTGCGAAAAAGAATAGAGAAAAAACTGTGTTCTCTGTAGGTTGTCGTTACAAACATACGTCCAGTTTCAACTGGTCTTTTAATATCTTTATCCACTTTTATTGATGTTGATATCAGAATATCACTATCTTTTATATTTTGTTGTATAAAGCCATCTATATGTAAATATCTACTTTCTGGAAAATATAAATTTACCTTCAGTACTTGAAGCTTCATTGTGCGTTCGATTATTACTCTTCATTTGCGGGCTTGTCGATAATTTGATATCATTGTCTCTTATAGAATGACAATCATTTTCGTGCTTGTTCTCATCTAGAGAAGCTTTTGAAAAAAGTCCACTTAAAAATTAGGACTAAAAGAATAAATAGTGAAATAAGTACTTACAACTAACTTTTTTGATATCATTTCCCAGTTGGGTATCTCTTTTCGGTAAGTCGATTTTGTTCTCAATCGTATTCCTTCTTATTTCTTCGGAATCTCCTACAGTCGTTATTATAGAATTAAATTATTACAATTTTTGAAATCATACTGAATATCTAGTATGCTCGTTAACAAATATTTGACTTACGATTGATATAATCGGATGTAATGTTGACACTTTCCATTTCAATACCTTTCGAGCAAAAATTAAAGTTAAAAGTAAATAGAAACCAAATGAAATATATTGTCTCAAAGAATGAATTCTGCAATACTTACAAGTGATTTCTCTGATGTTATTTTCCAGTTCGGTACTTGGATTCGTTAGTTCGATTTTGTTGTTATTCGTATTTCTTATTATTTCAACGGGATCTTCTTCTGTCATTACTTTATCAGTAGTAGTATCTTTTGTAAACAAACAAATATTTAAACTGATTAATGCCTGATGCCAGGCAGAAGGAAAGTATATATTCTTAATCATAGACATGTCTATCCCTACATCCATCTGTATGTGAGTATTTCGTCAATACTGTCCACAAGCTACATAAACAAAACTTTTCACACGCAAATATCCACTTTTGTTTGCAGCATCAAGTAATATCTTTTTCTTTTTTTTGCTTCTGCCGAAAGTCTGTCTGAGTACAGCGTTTTTCTTTGTCGAGCTTGCTCGACTGTTACGTTCTCTCTCTTGTTATTATAATAGTAAACACTTAGAATACTTTAAAATATTAGTTGCTTTCAGAATTCCATGATCTCTATATATATAAAACAGTTTGTCCTGACTAACTGACAGATTGGCAATCAACGCAAAGCCCAAACGGTAAGAACTAGGTAGCTGAAACTTGGATGGTGTAGGTGAGCACTAAGAAGGGATTTTGGTAAATTCGAGCTTTAAGTGGGGGAAGACGCGATCCAAAGTTTGTTTGAAACATCCGCATTTTTCCACCAATCAACTTAAATTTTTTTTTAATAATCTATAAAAGAATGCAAACAAGAGAGAACGCTTCAGTCGAGCAAGCCCGATAGTAAAATAGCCTGTACTCTCCACAAAAAAGGAAAATTAAAAAAAAAAAAATTAAAGAAATATTAAATTATTAAAAAAAGTGAATTAATTAATTAAGTAATTAAATTCAATTAGAAGACATGTGTATGTTCAGTTTTAACAGCATACATTTACATCACGTGCCTAAGCGTGTTTATATGCGTGTATGTATGCAGCACAAAGTTGAACCAAAGCAGCAACAACAACAGCAGCGGGCCGCGCTGCAGGCAGAGCATAGGCAGACCATAGGCAGGTGGGGTGGGGGGTTGTGTGGTGCATCGGAAAAAACTCAAACTCGTAATTTCTTGGACTTAGGAGAATCTGGATACTTTCGGAAATCCTAGCGTTCATACAGACAGACGGACGGACAACAATGTCTTTTAACAAGTCCGACATAAAAATGCTAGTCGAGATGGCAGTAAACACTGCATTCGCAAGTCAGACCTATACATACTTATGTTTAGAACATTTATAGAAATTAAAAAATTTTGATCGATTTTACCTCTCTTGGTATTCGAACTCACGTAAAGGGTGTATAATTGCACATTTACAAAGCCATTGCGTCTATGTGAGTGTATGAATGTCTATGCGCGTCTATTCGTGTCTGCGTGAGCATGTTAACTTCTTGTTAAATCGGTCTAACATAGTGAAACTTGCCATACGGACACATAATCACTAACTGGAGGTATTTACCAATTTTGAGTTAGAAATTCTAAGAATTACGAGAATTAGAGAAAATCACAAAAAAAAATGAAAACAAACTCGTATAGCGTACACACATAAGGCATTGTGCACAATTTGTCTCTAGCTCTTATAGTCTCTGAGATCCAGGTGTTCTTACGGACGGACAGACGGACAGACAGACAGACAGGGCTAGATCGACTCGTCTCGTCATGCTGATCAAGAATATATACACTTTGTGGGGTCTGCCACGCCTCCTTCTGTGTGTTCCATGTACACTCGCACAAAACTAATAAGGTATTTCATGCACCTTTTCAACACCACAGCTACATTCTTTTTACTCCCTCATCTGACAACATTTGATGGAATACTGAATACTGGGTACTGACCTACTAATAGAGTAAATGCCTCGTTGGATTTTAAAAATAAAATGTTGAAAACTGAGTCCGGACCCGAAATAATCCAATTTCTGAAATGCACGGACGTCAACTTTGCAGAAATAGAAGGCATAAAAGTACCTTAGTGCGTCCGAAAAGAATTCAAATCAGGATTTCATAAAATACTACTTGCGAAAAAGAATAGAGAAAAAACTGTGTTCTCTGTAGGTTGTCGTTACAAACTTACGTCCAGTTTCAACTGGTCTTTTAATATCTTTATCCACTTTTATTGATGTTGATATTAGAATATCACTATCTTTTATATTTTGTTGTATAAAGCCATCTATATGTAAATATCTACTTTCTGGAAAATATAAATTTACCTTCAGTACTTGAAGCTTCATTGTGCGTTCGATTATTACTCTTCATTTGCGGGCTTGTCGATAATTTGATATCATTGTCTCTTATAGAATGACAATCATTTTCGTGCTTGTTCTCATCTAGAGAAGCTTTTGAAAAAAGTCCACTTAAAAATTAGGACTAAAAGAATGAATAGTGAAATAAGTACTTACAACTAACTTTTTTGATATCATTTCCCAGTTGGGTATCTCTTTTCGGTAAGTCGATTTTGTTCTCAATCGTATTCCTTCTTATTTCTTCGGAATCTCCTACAGTCGTTATTATAGAATTAAATTATTACAATTTTTGAAATCATACTGAATATCTAGTATGCTCGTTAACAAATATTTGACTTACGATTGATATAATCGGATGTAATGTTGACACTTTCCATTTCAATACCTTTCGAGCAAAAATTAAAGTTAAAAGTAAATAGAAACCAAATGAAATATATTGTCTCAAAGAATGAATTCTGCAATACTTACAAGTGATTTCTCTGATGTTATTTTCCAGTTCGGTACTTGGATTCGTTAGTTCGATTTTGTTGTTATTCGTATTTCTTATTATTTCAACGGGATCTTCTTCTGTCATTACTTTATCAGTAGTAGTATCTTTTGTAAACAAACAAATATTTAAACTGATTAATGCCTGATGCCAGGCAGAAGGAAAGTATATATTCTTAATCATAGACATGTCTATCCCTACATCCATCTGTATGTGAGTATTTCGTCAATACTGTCCACAAGCTACATAAACAAAACTTTTCACACGCAAATATCCACTTTTGTTTGCAGCATCAAGTAATATCTTTTTCTTTTTTTTGCTTCTGCCGAAAGTCTGTCTGAGTACAGCGTTTTTCTTTGTCGAGCTTGCTCGACTGTTACGTTCTCTCTCTTGTTATTATAATAGTAAACACTTAGAATACTTTAAAATATTAGTTGCTTTCAGAATTCCATGATCTCTATATATATAAAACAGTTTGTCCTGACTAACTGACAGATTGGCAATCAACGCAAAGCCCAAACGGTAAGAACTAGGTAGCTGAATCTTGGATGGTGTAGGTGAGCACTAAGAAGGGATTTTGGTAAATTCGAGCTTTAAGTGGGGGAAGACGCGATCCAAAGTTTGTTTGAAACATCCGCATTTTTCCACCAATCAACTTAAATTTTTTTTTAATAATCTATAAAAGAATGCAAACAAGAGAGAACGCTTCAGTCGAGCAAGCCCGATAGTAAAATAGCCTGTACTCTCCACAAAAAAGGAAAATTAAAAAAAAAAAATTAAAGAAATATTAAATTATTAAAAAAAGTGAATTAATTAATTAAGTAATTAAATTCAATTAGAAGACATGTGTATGTTCAGTTTTAACAGCATACATTTACATCACGTGCCTAAGCGTGTTTATATGCGTGTATGTATGCAGCACAAAGTTGAACCAAAGCAGCAACAACAACAGCTGCGGGCCGCGCTGCAGGCAGAGCATAGGCAGACCATAGGCAGGTGGGGTGGGGGGTTGTGTGGTGCATCGGAAAAAACTCAAACTCGTAATTTCTTGGACTTAGGAGAATCTGGATACTTTCGGAAATCCTAGCGTTCATACAGACAGACGGACGGACAACAATGTCTTTTAACAAGTCCGACATAAAAATGCTAGTCGAGATGGCAGTAAACACTGCATTCGCAAGTCAGACCTATACATACTTATGTTTAGAACATTTATAGAAATTAAAAAATTTTGATCGATTTTACCTCTCTTGGTATTCGAACTCACGTAAAGGGTGTATAATTGCACATTTACAAAGCCATTGCGTCTATGTGAGTGTATGAATGTCTATGCGCGTCTATTCGTGTCTGCGTGAGCATGTTAACTTCTTGTTAAATCGGTCTAACATAGTGAAACTTGCCATACGGACACATAATCACTAACTGGAGGTATTTACCAATTTTGAGTTCGAAATTCTAAGAATTACGAGAATTAGAGAAAATCACCAAAAAAAAATGAAAACAAACTCGTATAGCGTACACACATAAGGCATTGTGCACAATTTGTCTCTAGCTCTTATAGTCTCTGAGATCCAGGTGTTCTTACGGACGGACAGACGGACAGACAGACAGACAGGGCTAGATCGACTCGTCTCGTCATGCTGATCAAGAATATATACACTTTGTGGGGTCTGCCACGCCTCCTTCTGCGTGTTCCATGTACACTCGCACAAAACTAATAAGGTATTTCATGCACCTTTTCAACACCACAGCTACATTCTTTTTACTCCCTCATCTGACAACATTTGATGGAATACTGAATACTGGGTACTGACCTACTAATAGAGTAAATGCCTCGTTGGATTTTAAAAATAAAATGTTGAAAACTGAGTCCGGACCCGAAATAATCCAATTTCTGAAATGCACGGACGTCAACTTTGCAGAAATAGAAGGCATAAAAGTACCTTAGTGCGTCCGAAAAGAATTCAAATCAGGATTTCATAAAATACTACTTGCGAAAAAGAATAGAGAAAAAACTGTGTTCTCTGTAGGTTGTCGTTACAAACTTACGTCCAGTTTCAACTGGTCTTTTAATATCTTTATCCACTTTTATTGATGTTGATATCAGAATATCACTATCTTTTATATTTTGTTGTATAAAGCCATCTATATGTAAATATCTACTTTCTGGAAAATATAAATTTACCTTCAGTACTTGAAGCTTCATTGTGCGTTCGATTATTACTCTTCATTTGCGGGCTTGTCGATAATTTGATATCACTGTCTCTTATAGAATGACAATCATTTTCGTGCTTGTTCTCATCTAGAGAAGCTTTTGAAAAAAGTCCACTTAAAAATTAGGACTAAAAGAATGAATAGTGAAATAAGTACTTACAACTAACTTTTCTGATATCATTTCCCAGTTGGGTATCTCTTTTCGGTAAGTCGATTTTGTTCTCAATCGTATTCCTTCTTATTTCTTCGGAATCTCCTACAGTCGTTATTATAGAATTAAATTATTACAATTTTTGAAATCATACTGAATATCTAGTATGCTCGTTAACAAATATTTGACTTACGATTGATATAATCGGATGTAATGTTGACACTTTCCATTTCAATACCTTTCGAGCAAAAATTAAAGTTAAAAGTAAATAGAAACCAAATGAAATATATTGTCTCAAAGAATGAATTGTGCAATACTTACAAGTGATTTCTCTGATGTTATTTTCCAGTTCGGTACTTGGATTCGTTAGTTCGATTTTGTTGTTATTCGTATTTCTTATTATTTCAACGGGATCTTCTTCTGTCATTACTTTATCAGTAGTAGTATCTTTTGTAAACAAACAAATATTTAAACTGATTAATGCCTGATGCCAGGCAGAAGGAAAGTATATATTCTTAATCATAGACATGTCTATCCCTACATCCATCTGTATGTGAGTATTTCGTCAATACTGTCCACAAGCTACATAAACAAAACTTTTCACACGCAAATATCCACTTTTGTTTGCAGCATCAAGTAATATCTTTTTCTTTTTTTTGCTTCTGCCGAAAGTCTGTCTGAGTACAGCGTTTTTCTTTGTCGAGCTTGCTCGACTGTTACGTTCTCTCTCTTGTTATTATAATAGTAAACACTTAGAATACTTTAAAATATTAGTTGCTTTCAGAATTCCATGATCTCTATATATATAAAACAGTTTGTCCTGACTAACTGACAGATTGGCAATCAACGCAAAGCCCAAACGGTAAGAACTAGGTAGCTGAATCTTGGATGGTGTAGGTGAGCACTAAGAAGGGATTTTGGTAAATTCGAGCTTTAAGTGGGGGAAGACGCGATCCAAAGTTTGTTTCCACCAATCAACTTAAATTTTTTTTTTAATAATCTATAAAAGAATGCAAACAAGAGAGAACGCTTCAGTCGAGCAAGCCCGATAGTAAAATAGCCTGTACTCTCCACAAAAAAGGAAAATTAAAAAAAAAAAATTAAAGAAATATTAAATTATTAAAAAAAGTGAATTAATTAATTAAGTAATTAAATTCAATTAGAAGACATGTGTATGTTCAGTTTTAACAGCATACATTTACATCACGTGCCTAAGCGTGTTTATATGCGTGTATGTATGCAGCACAAAGTTGAACCAAAGCAGCAACAACAACAGCTGCGGGCCGCGCTGCAGGCAGAGCATAGGCAGACCATAGGCAGGTGGGGTGGGGGGTTGTGTGGTGCATCGGAAAAAACTCAAACTCGTAATTTCTTGGACTTAGGAGAATCTGGATACTTTCGGAAATCCTAGCGTTCATACAGACAGACGGACGGACAACAATGTCTTTTAACAAGTCCGACATAAAAATGCTAGTCGAGATGGCAGTAAACACTGCATTCGCAAGTCAGACCTATACATACTTATGTTTAGAACATTTATAGAAATTACAAAATTTTGATCGATTTTACCTCTCTTGGTATTCGAACTCAAGTAAAGGGTGTATAATTGCACATTTACAAAGCCATTGCGTCTATGTGAGTGTATGAATGTCTATGCGCATCTATTCGTGTCTGTGTGAGCATGTTTCCAGTCAACCAAAGCACCAGCATCAGCAACAGCTGCGGACAGCTCTTGGGCAGTAAATATATTTCTGGCTATAACTTCTTGTTAAATCGGTCTAACATAGTGAAACTTGCCATACGGACACATAATCACTAACTGGAGGTATTTACCAATTTTGAGTTAGAAATTCTAAGAATTACGAGAATTAGAGAAAATCACCAAAAAAAATGAAAACAAACTCGTATAGCGTACACACATAAGGCATTGTGCACAATTTGTCTCTAGTTCTTATAGTCTCTGAGATCCAGGAGTTCTTACGGACGGACAGACGGACAGACAGACAGACAGGGCTAGATCGACTCGTCTCGTCATGCTGATCAAGAATATATACACTTTGTGGGGTCTGCCACGCCTCCTTCTGTGTGTTCCATGTACACTCGCACAAAACTAATAAGGTATTTCATGCACCTTTTCAACACCACAGCTACATTCTTTTTACTCCCTCATCTGACAACATTTGATGGAATACTGAATACTGGGTACTGACCTACTAATAGAGTAAATGCCTCGTTGGATTTTAAAAATAAAATGTTGAAAACTGAGTCCGGACCCGAAATAATCCAATTTCTGAAATGCACGGACGTCAACTTTGCAGAAATAGAAGGCATAAAAGTACCTTAGTGCGTCCGAAAAGAATTCAAATCAGGATTTCAGAAAAAACTGTGTTCTCTGTAGGTTGTCGTTACAAACTTACGTCCAGTTTCAACTGGTCTTTTAATATCTTTATCCACTTTTATTGATGTTGATATCAGAATATCACTATCTTTTATATTTTGTTGTATAAAGCCATCTATATGTAAATATCTACTTTCTGGAAAATATAAATTTACCTTCAGTACTTGAAGCTTCATTGTGCGTTCGATTATTACTCTTCATTTGCGGGCTTGTCGATAATTTGATATCATTGTCTCTTATAGAATGACAATCATTTTCGTGCTTGTTCTCATCTAGAGAAGCTTTTGAATAAAGTCCACTTAAAAATTAGGACTAAAAGAATGAATAGTGAAATAAGTACTTACAACTAACTTTTCTGATATCATTTCCCAGTTGGGTATCTCTTTTCGGTAAGTCGATTTTGTTCTCAATCGTATTCCTTCTTATTTCTTCGGAATCTGCTACAGTCGTTATTATAGAATTAAATTATTACAATTTTTGAAATCATACTGAATATCTAGTATGCTCGTTAACAAATATTTGACTTACGATTGATATAATCGGATGTAATGTTGACACTTTCCATTTCAATACCTTTTGGTTGATGAACTTTTTTGCTTTGCGTCATAGTCCCGTCTGCAATTTTTGTTTCTTCGGTGACGGATTGAATGCACAACAAATAAAAAATTCCATTAATTAAGAATCATGAACTTATGTGCAATTTCAATAGGACTTTGAATATCGTTATCAACTTTTATTGGTGTGGATATCAGAATAGCACTTTCTCTTCTATTTTGTTGTTGTTTGCAAATTATAAATTTACCTTCAATTGCATTGTACGACCCTTGATCACACTATATTAGCGAGCTACCCCATAGTTTAACATCAAAATGATAATCATTGTCGTACTTGTTTTCATCTATAGAAGCTTTCGAGCAAAAATTAAAGTTAAAAGTAAATAGAAACCAAATGAAATATATTGTCTGAAAGAATGAATTGTGCAATAGTTACAACTGATTTCTCTGATGTTATTTTATAGTTCGGTACTTGGATTCGGTAGTTCGATTTTGTTGCTATTCGAATTTCTTATTATTTCAACGGGATCTTCTTCTGTGATTCCTTTATCAGTAGTAGTATCTTTTGCAAACAAACAAATATTAATACTGATTAATGCCTAATGCTAAACAGAAGGAAAGTACTTAGTTGGTGGTCAATCCAAGCGTGGCCTCCCTGCATACATAGATAACCACGGGGCATAAGAGGGAACTATACATTCGAACACCGATAGCGGATTGGAGTTGGGACCAATTTGAAAAGAGGACCACAAAAACAACGAGAAGACGGGTATATTAAGATGGAAGACGAGGCTATCTTTCAAAAGAAGAGCAAAGTCCTCCGATCGCCAATCAGCATGATATCCCCCCCTACCAAAACCCGATTCGCGAGCATTCAAGGTGCAACCAACACACCTTCGATTACGGCAACACCCATATTTCTTGTAGCAGGTGGGTCACAACCCCAAAAATCGGTTGCATCCCCTAACCTACAATTTATTTCCTAGATGAGAAGAAAGGACGAAGAGGCTATTGCTAATATTGAAAGAGTACTTCGTACAATAAAAGCGGCAATGCAAAAACAGAGAAATATTAATATAAATGTACAAGATGGAGTTCAGGAAATAGATGAATTGTTGTGTATTGCTGATACGAGCAGATCCAGCTGGATCAAAGTAGAAAACGAAAGACAGAGCAAAGCACCCATCGACAAAGCCCCCAATAACTATGAAACTTACAATTCCAAAAAGTCAACTATCCATAAAAGGATTGCTACAAGTCCTGCGGTGCAAGACTCGAACAAGAAGCAAAGAATTAAGGAACCGGAAGCCGAGTTTCAGGCTGTATCCCGAAGAAGAGGAAAGCAGAAAAAGGAAAAAGAAGGCAAACTAACCTAAGAAAACGAATCTGGGCCACACAAAGGAACAGATACCAGAAGACGAACACGAACTCGTCCAGATGCAGTCTTGACCAATCCAGCCGAAGGCAAGACTTATGCAGGAGTGCTGAAATGCCTTCGAAAAAATATCAAACCAGATGAAGCTGAAAGCGCCATCCGCTCAGTTAGGAAGACCAAAGCTGGAGACATGCTCCCAGAACTGGAAAAAGGAAGTAAAACGCAAAAACTGTGCGATACCATCCAAAGTATGTTGAAAGAGACAGCTGCTGTCAAGGCCCTTAAGCCCGTAGCAAAAATAGAGATACGGATAGCCTCACTGAAGAAGGTGAAGTCGAGTCCGCCATCAGAGAGATAATTGACGATACTGACCAAGACATCCGGGTGCGCATGACTGGTGTGAACAGCTCAGTACAAAGACGTGCTTTTGTTACTCTATCGACGGAGAATGTAACCAAAATCCTAAGGGAGCAGAGGATAAAAGTCGGGTGGACGCGATGCCGCGTTAAACCATGTATTGATATCCTCCGGTGCTTTAAATGCTTTGGTATTGGTCATTTTCAAAGGGATTGTGAAGGACCGGATCGTAAAGACCTATGCATGAAATGCGGAGAGAGTGGACACAAAGTTAAGGACTGCATAAAACATGCAAGATGCTTTTTGTGAGCGCATGAAAATTACAAGGTCCCGAACCATTTTCCTGGAGCAAGTAATTGCGCCGCAAGTTCGAAAAAAGATAAAATATGAAGATACTTCAAGCAAACATGCACAGAAGCCGAGTAGCGCTATTATCCCAGATTGCTGTCGAGCAAGAAGGTGATCTTGTCATAATTAGCGAGCAATACAAGAAGAAAGACGATGGCTTGTGGCTTGAGAACGACACCAAAACTGCGGCAATATGGGTGCCAGGTACAAGCAGCATTCGTAGTGCCAAACGTTGGCTCAGTCCCGACATTCAGACGGGACAGATGTGAGGGCACGATCCCTGACATAACTCTAGTGTCCGAAACGGCGGCGCATAAAATCGCTGACTGGAAAGTTTTTGACATCTTCAATGGTAGTGACCATGAGTATATTACTTTCGGTCTTGAGGATAACATCATGACCAAAGCTGTTGCACAAACAAAACCATTCTGATAAGAGAGATCGACAGGAGAGCAGTCAGAGCTCAACAGACTGGAAACACCGAAACAAAAGTAAACAGAAAGATGTCAGCCATAAGGAAGGCTTGCAATGCTGCAATGCCAAAAATGGGTAACAGACATAGACAAGGACAAGAAGCGTACTGGTGGACCGACGAAATCAAAACAATGAGGGAAGCATGCGTAAGACGCAGGCGACTCCTTACCAGAGTAAGACGAAGAGCAGACTTTGAATTCGAAGACCAGCAATACAGAAAATCCAAGAAAGATCTCAATATTGTCACACGAAAGAGTAAGATCGGGAAATGGAAAGACCTCTGTAGCGTTGTAAATATTGACCCTTGGGGCCTAGGATATAAAATCGTAATGAAGAAGCTGAAGAAACAGAACGCGCTACCAAATCTAGACAACGAACAAATGGATAATATAGTAGGAGCACTCTTCCCTGCACACCCAATAAGACCCCGAGATGTTACGCGGCCGACAGAGGTCAACCCAGATGAACTATTTACAGAAAGTGAACTGATAAAATCTCCAAGAAGGCTAAAAAATATGAAAGCACCAGTTCCGGACAATATTCCGGCTGAGGTTTTGAAAGAGATTGCTGCAAGCCGACCAAATGCTCGATATGTACAACGCGTGCACCCAAAGCGGAACATTTCCTGACTGTTGGAAAACACAGCGACTGGTCCTCATAAGCAAGGGTAAAGGGGACCCGGCAACCCAGCTGGAAAACTTTTAGAAAAGATGATCAAGCCAAGGTTAGTAGTCGCTATAGAAGATGATGGAGGCCTCTCCCCCCGCCAATACGGATTCAGACCTGGAAGATCCACGATCGGCGCAATACAAGAAGTGGCGCACGCAGCTATGCTATGCCAACAAGGCAATCATTACTTGCGCCCATTGGTACTATTAGCAATTCTGGACATAAAGAATGCATGTAACAGCGTGAAATGGAGCAACATGATCGACTCTCTCGAAAATCGAATCCGTATTCCCGAGTATTTAATGAGGATGATTCGCAGCTACCTTGAAAACCGAAAGCTACTTTGTCAAACGGAAAACGGTGAAAAATGCACCCAAATAACTGCGGGAGCTGCTCAGGGCTCAATACGAGGACCTGAGCTCTGGAACATAAGCTACGACGAAATTCTTAGAATTGAAATGCCCGATGATTCATTCCTAGTTGGATACGCGGACGACATTGTTGCAGTCATCACCGCACGAACTCTTGAGCATGCACAGAGAAAACTGAACCAGGTAATGCTTCGTGCTAAATGCTGGCTGGATTCCCATGGACTCGAGTTGGCAATGCAGAAAACAGAGCTACTGATTGTCACAAGGCGACAGATACCAATAGAAATAGACATCAAGATCAACGAGGATATTTTAAAGACGCAAAAAGCTATAAAATATCTAGGAGTTTGGCTACATTCGGTCCGCATCTCCAACATGCGAAAACCAGAGCAGCAAATGCAACACAATCGCTATGTAGGCTAATGGCGAATGTCGGTGGTCCACTACAGTGCAGACGCAAACTACTGATGGAAATAGTAAACGCTATTCTGCTATACGGCTGCGAGGTCTGGGCAGACACATTAAGCGTAGAATGCAGGGCAAAACCACTACTGAGAATCCAAAGAACTGCGGCGTTAAGAATAATTAGCGCTTATCGAACCGTCTCCAAGTCAGCAGCACTTGTTATAGCAGGTGTCAAACCAATTGACCTACTAGCTAGAGAGCGGAAGGATATTTATGAGCTGCGACATGTAGGGCAAGCCGATAGACAAGCAATAGAACGGTGCAAAGAAGAAACGTTAAGAACCTGGCAAGATCGATGGACAAACGAGGATAAGGGAAGATGGACAGCTAGACTCATCCCTGAAATAAAATCCTGGGTCCAGAGAAAACACGGAGATGTTGACTACTACAACACACAGATGATAACCGGACACGGCTACTTCAGCTCTTTCCTCCATGCCATGAGAAAGAGCCCACAAAGTAGCTGCGTGTATAACGACGCCGAGTACGATAATGAAGAACACACAATATTTCACTGTCAGCGTTGTACAGAAAGACGAAATGAACTGTCAGAAAGTGTTGGACAAATTTCGCCTGAAAACTGGCACCAAATAACAAGGTACGTAAGGGACCTGCTTATCCTTAAAACAAAAGGACTTAGACGAGAGACAATGAAAATGGAATCTTGGGCAGCGTGGACGCAGGTATAACGATGTGAGCGCATGACGCTTAAGGGACCCCACTTTGAAGTAATGCGAAAGCGCTTCCAAAGTGGAGATAGGTCCGTGATGAGGGGGGGTTTTAGTGGGTCCCACATACCTCTCTGCGAC